TTCTCATACATGAAGTGCATCCAACAACCACCAAATAGAATCTCATCTCAACTCAATCTCTCAAAAGCATAATACCTACTTATACATGCATATGTCTCTACTAAATCTCTACTCAAAAACTCATTTAAGTCTCAACTTGGTTGGATTTACTTACCTTGTGAAAAATTGACTCCTCTAGCACTTTTCCTTTCCCTTGTTGTCTTGTCTTCTCTCTACAACTCAACACAACAACAACAACAATAACAACCATATAAGACTTCAATATAACTATAAGCAAACTTACATCTAAAGCAAGAATCCTTACCTTAGGATGCTTTAGATGAAATCTCTACCCAAAATTACTTAAAAGCTCTATTAAACCCCTTAGAAATCTTGGAACAATTGAAAGCAAAATTGAAAGGAAGTAGAGAATGAGAATGGCGGTGGAAATGGATGAAATGAGGGTTTATTACACTTAACCCTTTTTAGCTCATAAGAAAATCATCACTTTCCAACTTTGCCCTTGGTCTTCCTTGAAAATTCCATCTATATCCTTTGATTCATTACACTCACACCCCCATACTAACCTATTCTCCACGTAATTTCCTTACATTTCACTCCCCACTTTTCCTGCTAATTAGGGGTAGAATGGTCATTTTACCCCTATGGAGAAATATCTAGAAATCTCATTAAACTTTTCAACTGGCCTTTCGCCGCGGCGAAGAAACTTTCGTCGCCCTGACGAAGAATTACAGAGTCGACACCGCCTTACTCAAAGCCAACGTCACCGCGGCGAAGACTGAAATGCTAAAATTCCTCAAATCTCAATCAATTTCAAGACACACACTCAACCAACTCAACATACAAACTCAATTAAAGCTGACTCAATAAACATTTAAGCCATATATCAAATCTTAAGTACGTACCTCAAGTGGGGCGTTACATTTCTCTTTGGAGTAAAGAACATTTCCCCACCCAATGTTTGGCCTAAAGACACTTTCCCACCCGAAAAGTTTCAAAACGATACTTTCCCACCAACAGGCCAATTCCATTAGTAATTCCATTAACTACAGTGTATATTCATTGAAAAGACAAAAATACCCTTTACTATTTAACTTAATAATTTTATTATTATTTTATGTTATGTCATTAGAGTCCATTACCTATATACCCACTTTTTAAATATGAAATTACTGTATACCCTCAATTATATATGAGGATATAAATTACCAATTTGTTCCTTTAGTTTTTAATTAAAATATTGTTTTAAATCAATGTAATTACTTTAAAAATTTGAAGCCTTTAAAATTACCATTTTGTCCCTAGTTTTCGTAACCCTAAACTGGCATTTATATTTAACAAATTTTGTCAATTTAAACCCAATAAAACTAAGTATTAACATTATTGATTTGCTTAAATAAGAATCTAGATTGTAAAATTACAATGTATATATATTTAAGAAATTTTGTCAATTCAAACCCAATAAAAATAGGGAATTTAATACAAAGAAATTTTCTCATTCATTTCTTAAAATCGAAAATGTTTTGCTTTGACCCTCCCACTTTCTAGCTCCTTAAAGCTTGTTTTTCCTTTGCTTTCTAGATCTTCAAAACCTTTTGCATAATCTAACGCTCTTCCACCAAGAAAGCTCGAATGGTTGGCGCTAGTTTGACTCCGATTGGTTCTTGTCCGTTGCGCCGTTTTTAACGGGATGCAGTGGCTGATCCGGTGGTACACCTTGAATTGGAATGGGCTTAAATCGAAGTTTTCAAGCCCTAACCTAATTCTAAAGCCAAAATATTGATGTGAATTCTCGTTCAAACTAAAACGTCGAGACGTGAACACTCGTCAATTAGAGATGCTCGATTGACCATGGAAGGAACCGAGCAAGATGGGCACGTGATTCCTAAGAATCAGCAAAGGCGAGTGCATATGGTTGGGACAAGGCTAGAATGAAAGGCGAGCTTTTTAGAATGGTTCGGCTAAACAAGAAATGGACCCTACCGTCCATCGTTTCTTTTTATCAAGATTTGTGGTTACAGAGAATATGATTAAAACATATACAAAAAAGTGCTCTCTTTCTATTTCCTTTATTCTCCTACCCCCCCGCGCCCCCCCCCCCCCCAACACTGTCCTGAGGATTTTAATCTTAGTATTTATAGGGGGTTCCAATGGCAGTTGTGAGTAGGGATGCGTCAACGAAATGATTACTGTCGACCCTAACAGGTTTTCGGCGATCGAGGTCGCCAGGGCATTATTACATTTAATCCTAGTTACAGTTGTAATTAACTAGAGTTTTTTGGAGAGTAGTCACTGGTTAAATAAAGCAGTTGTATGCACTACACGTGGTGCCCATGCAACTTAATAGACTCATCAGGTGTTGCAACAAGCGTTGAGGTTTGTCGACACCTAGCTGTAAGCTGACACTCATCTTGGGTGAGAATTTTGTTTGGTTTGTTTAGTGAAGCATCCGAGCTAGAATTCCTCTGCTTTTCCCAGGCTCGGGCTGGATTTTTATTTCCGCACAAAATTTGTCAAGGTGATTACTCAAATGCCGTTGTCTCAATCCTACTTTTTGTTTGATAACTTCTTGTTGCAATAATTGCTTATTGCCATATTATCCCCCTTAATTTTTTTTTTTTTTTTTTTTTAATGTTTATAATGATTCCACACCACAGAGGAAAAAAACTTTCTTTTTCCATTTTCAGTCTCATCATTCAAATTTGTTGATGTCTACATGAGGTTGATAATCTTTTTCTTGTTGATTCATCATGCTGCATTTAAAATAATATGATTTCAATTGTATAGAAAAACTGATTACAAATAATGTAAAATCACAATTCATAACCTAAACTTTTAATCTAATAATATAAAAGAAAGATTTAATATAAAGTCAATGTTCCATACAATTTTAAAGTTGAATAAATAAAATATATGATGTTAGTAATTATAGAAATCAATTTGAAGTAAGTCAATGGAGGAATAAGGTTGTGGTGGCTAAGGTTTTCTTTTGTTTGAAAAGAAAAAAAAAAAAGTAAATAATATAACCTTTTATAAATAATTCTTACAATTTTAATGTTAATGATTATATATAATTATTTATTCATGGTAATATATGTTTGGGCGAATGGGATGGATCAAGGTCAAAGTTAGCATGCCCATGCCTGCCCCAAAATACCCTAATTTGGGTCAAGGTATTCAAACCCAAATCCTACCCACCCCAAAATTACTATCCAAATCCAACTCATTAGGGGGTCAAACTTTACATCCCTATTTCAAAATATGTGTTTTTTGGTTTAGGGTCTTTAACATAACTTGCTTATCATTAGTCAATTATGTGATTAGGGTTATAAAGTTAGACTTGAGCCTACATTTTACAACTTAGAAAACATGAGTGATGAAAAGCATTTGTTTGTGATGAACTGTGCTATTTGGCATTATATGAAAGTAGCTGCTTAGGTCATGCAAGTATGGACAAAATTTCGAATGTTTTCAAGAATGAAATACACAAGAGTTTCCTATATTTTACCTTTATTTGTAATTGTGCGATAGATGTGAAAAGAATGTTCCCGGATAGTGAAATTTATATCGTTTGAATAAAATGATGTCAATGTTGAGCTATAGCATTCAATGTCTCTAAAACTTCTTATAACACGTTCATTTATAAACATTCTGTCCCTTTAATTAAGTAGATACATTTTGGATAAAGAATGGTTGTGTGAAGGGATATTATCAATTATAATACAAACTTTTCAAACTCTAGTATTGGGAGGAAAAAAAGTTATAAATTATTCAATTAAGGGACATCTAGTGGTGATTTGCCTTTAGCTTCCACCTTCCAAGGAAAATGATAAAGACTTAGATACCTTGACATTTTTTTTTTTTTTTAAAGTAAGTTTAGTTCTTAAATTAATAATGTTAAAAAACTAAAAAGAACCAAAAAAATAACTTTTGTAAAGAAAATTAAAAGATTAAAAGTTTAATGAAAAAAACTAAAACTATTTGAAAAAAAAAAATTTAATTTTTTTTCAAAATTTTTATGTATTATTATTATTATTATTATTATTTTTTTTTTTGTACTTTATAACTTTGTTAGTATTTTTATTTTTTTAAAAGAAATAATTTAAATTTATACAATTATCATTATTATTATTATTTTTGGTGATCAGAAGTGTCCGGGCCAGCTTACGCGCACCTCAACTAATCCTCTCAGACCCTGAGTTGACAGTCGAGTAAATCCTCGAGTGATCATCTCTATTAGTAGCCTAGGTGGATCAAACTCATGATTCTTAAGTAATACATCCAAGAGTCATAATTGGCATTGTTATATAACTATTATTTTGCCTTAATATAAAGTTAAATTTAACTCTAATTAATTGTTTATTGTCCTTTATTGAAAGATTTATTAACTTATTTCCTCTTATTAAAAATTTTTAAAAGGTTGATAGTATCCCTTGTGTGAAACCAATAACATATTGGTATGGGATAAACTCAAAAACAATAATATCTATTTAATTGAATCGAAAATATTATAAGTTCCATAATAAATTTTAATTATTTTATTAAATATTTTTAAAAATTAATTTACTATTTTGCCCCTACTATCACCATTGCTACGATGTTGGTAGAATCACACTACCAGCAACAACGATTTGCCGATTTGGATGGATTCCGACCATCGATGACTTCTGGAGTGATGTCACATGTGGCAGCCATTCCACATTATCATTGGCATGTGACGACCAACGGTTAACTAGTTTTGAAACTTTTTAATTTTTTATTTAAAATAAAAAGAATAATTTTATAAGTATTAAATTTAATAAATTAATTTTAGTTCAAATATTTTAATAAAAATTTTAAATTATGTGGTGATTTTTGTCTATTTATTTTTTAATGGATTCCTATTGTGTGATAAAACATACATATAAAATTATTTAAACTTGAGGATATTTTCAACCAAAATCACAATTTTATTTCATTCTATCAACATTCCTTACTACAAATAAACAATGTAATTTTTATTTCATTCCCAGTCCCATCCAATCCACAAAGTAAACATCACCCTGATTTATAATACAACTATTAATAAATCATACATACAGAACTAAAACTAACCTCATCCATTGTGACACGTATCAGACATTTCAAATTACTTTATTAATAATACATTGAAATTAAATTATTTATATTATATACACAGAGACTTTTCCCCATGGCATAACATCATACTGAAACTGAAACTGAAACTGGACTACTTCTCAAAGGAAGGTCACTCATTTTTATTTCTATATTTGAGTAATCAGTACATTCAGTACTAGGACCACCAGTTGACAAGCTTTGCGTTTGGCTTGGATGTTGCCAGAAGTGATTTCTTATGGCCTTAAATTTTGAATTAGTGGCTAAAAACCCAGCATCTGAAAGCAGGTCTTGAACCTCAGTTCGACCTTCCAGCATGCTCACGACTTGAGAAATCATTGGCCTCAGCGTCGGGGATGCATTCGTGCACAAGAGAGCCACATTAAGCATCGCCATTGCTTCCTCCGATGAATATTCTGATCCCAAATTAGGATCAACCAGCTCTAATAGATTTCCTCTTTCTTGGAGAACAAACGCCTGAAATAAACCAGTCAATGTAGAAACTCAGAAAGGAACCGGACATGGAAATAAGCAACCAAATTCTTACCCAGTCAAGAAGGTAAACAAAATCCTCATTTGGCCTGTAGTTTGTGTTGGTCTTTCCACTAATGATTTCCAATGCAACCACTCCAAAACTATAAACATCAGCCTTGTTTGTTAAGTAGCCACGCATCGCATACTCAGGAGCCATATAACCACTACAAATTAAAACGTAAGCAATTTTTAAGCATAAATTATGAAGCTCGATATCTTTTTTTGACGTCAATTTCATGTCACCTAGGAAAGAAAGAAACAGGTAACAAATTCTGATAGAAAAACAAGGGCTTAGGATACTAATGAATGATCTTTTATACCACATTTGTTAAAGTGCATCAACAATTAATTTTAGGTCTAGCAATTTGGTGAATTCAGATCATTTCACAGTTCGCTGCAGAATATAAGAACATGGTCACAGGGTATAATTTTCATCTCTTTAATCGCCCATTACATATATATAACTTACCAAAAATATAAGTCTTTCAAATAAAAAGAACTTACATAGTTCCAGCAACCCTTGTGCTGATGTGAGAACTGTCATCTTCGTAAAGCTTAGCCAAGCCAAAATCAGAAATTTTAGCATTGAGATCCTTATCAAGCAAGACGTTGCTTGTCTTGATATCCCTATGCACAATTTTTATTCTCGACTCTTCATGGAGGTAGACTAAACCTCTAGCTATGCCTAAGCAAATTTTTCTCCTTGTAGGCCAATCTAGTTTTAATCTGTTTGCTGCATCTCTCCCTGCATGGTGTTAAGAAAAATGCCAATCAATTTTGTAGCAACTGGTGAGTCCGTGGACGAAATTGTCCTGAATAAAGTGGCATAGACAATTAGAAGTACCAAGCTTACCAAAAAGAGCGCGGGAAACACAATTATTTTCCATGTACTCATAGACAAGTAACAACTGATTTGCTTCAACACAACACCCATACAACTTTACAAGATTTGGATGTTGCAAAGCAGATATCATGCCAATTTCATTTATAAATTCACGATTTCCTTGCTTAGATTTCGATGAGAGCTGTTTTACTGCAATTACAGTTCCATCTGATAGTACACCCTGCATTCCAAGGAATGCCTTGATTTTAGACTAAAATAACAAATTAGTAAACCTTACTCAACAATGCACATTAAATATACACCTTTGAGTAGATTTGTCACTTAAAGTAGCAAATTCTTGTGTCCTCCTTTATTGGAGTTTCTCTTATGTTACATGTTCAACATTAGGTTTTGAATTGCTTGAAAATTTTGATTTGCTCATGAAAATTTTCTCAATCTAGCATATGCAATAATTTTTGGATTGAAAGAAGAAAGATAAAAAATGAGTTAAAAAACTAACTCAGCTATCATTATTGTCATTTGTTCTAGTTCACATGGTCTTCTCTTCTATATTAAGAAGAACCCATCAAACTTTAGTTTTTTCTACTTCCAGTGGCAACTTAAGGAATATGCAGATAAACGATAAAAATTTAAATGGGTAGGACATAAATTTACCTTGTAAACTGAACCAAAACCACCTTCCCCAACTTTATTAGCTGCATCAAAATTCTTTGTGGCAACCTTAATCTGTCTTAGAGTGTATATTCCTGTTTGCAGATCTAGACTTCTCAGCTCTGCATAGAGTGCAGTATTAATGTCAATAGAGATAGTGAGACATTTAAATTTCCATCTTATAATCTTTCACTGCTGAGTATAAAGTAGTATGATTTCAGAATGTTGCAGCCTGCAACGATGAAGTAAAAATATCCAGTCAAGATTTTACTAGGAATGTGTCTGCCGTGTGAATCATATTGTTAAAAAGACGGTCCGATATGCAGCTGCTATTAAGGTGAACTATGAAACGAAACCTATTGTTAGGGTAGCTAAGATAAATGTGCTAGAGATTGGCAAATGGTCTGGATATTTTACTTGGACTGTGCATACAAATAGGGTCACTATTGGGCTACCACTGATGAGGGCGGGAGAGTGGATTCTAGATAAAAAATAAAAATTATATCAGCAGGTAGGATGACTGCATTCTGTAAAATCTCCGCGAATTCTTCTTTGCAGGAGGCATTTCCTTGGCTGGTTGACCCCGCGTCCTAACTAAAAGTCAAGTTCCTAAGGAAGAAACCTAGGCTAAAAGCTAGTGCGGCGTACTAAATGAACAAGATCAAGCACTAAATGATGGTGATGTGCACTGTCTAAGGATTTTACTACTCAACTCTGGACAGCTAGCCTAGGCAGCTAGCAGCATGAGGCTTAAACCTTTGATGAACCCAAAATTAAATACCTCTTGTTCTGGTTTCCTGAAGATAAAATGATAAGAGATCAAATTTTTATTGACAATTCTCAAGCAACAGGACCCATTTGATATAGAATTTAAATACAATTTTATTTTTGAAGATTATAAACTATACGAGAGGTCAATGGAATATATCATACCTTTATCCGCAGAGACATTGCCTCCCAGCCACCCTTTCCTCCGCAGGATAAGTAATAGCAACAGGACAAGTAATAGTGATGAAGCCAAAGTCCCAGCCACTACCATGACACGATGTTTTTTGCCCTTAAGCACAGGAGGCTTAAAGTCTGCGCAAGAAGAGGATTTGCAACAATGAATTGAAAGAGGCAAGTGAACTAACTAAAGTAATGATAGTCACGCAATTGATGGAGTAATAACTTAAGCTAAAATTCCATTTTTCCATTACAAGTTCGTTGGATACTGAGCATAAGGTAGTCGTAGTTCAACCCCAATAGTCTTTGCTCAATGGTAAATGAATGTTACAAAATTCCACTTAGCTTGCAAGTCAGCATATTTAATTTAGTGTACATACTGAGTAAACCGGCAACAGCCAAAAAGAATGACAAGGAGATCCTGTGTAGCTACTCAACTTATTGAACCACAGTAACTAGGTGAGTTATAAGGGATCAAATCCATTATACAATATAATATTAAGATCGAACAGATAAAAATAAGTATTGAGGGAGAATGGTTAGGTGTGAGGATCAGATGTAACCTCAATAGCAAAAAACTACCATATGATGACTTGAATGCTATTAACTTTGAACAAGTTACAATAGCTTACTTGGATCTACTGAGATAGCTGATATTATAGGGCCATAAAATCCTCTGACTGGTATGCCGGTTGTCCCTCTTCCAGCCCAGTAAAACTGAATCTTTAATGTGTTACTTGTCACTGGGGCTGTAAAATTCTTTACAATGGGAATACCAGTACCACCAGCCTCATTTTGAATGCTAAAATGTTTCAGGACCAACTTCCCCTATTTCAAACAAATAATAAGAGATCAATATCCATATATATCTAGTAAACTAAAAAAAGGCTGTTGTATACATGAAAGTAGACTAACCTGGATGTACACATCAAATATACGCCTTCCCAAGCTATTCAAAGAGCTGTAATTTGTGAAAATAATCTCAGCAAAGTGAAGTTTGACAGTGTAATTCCCATTTCCGAGGCAGAGTCCATAGTAAGTCAGAGAGAGAGGAGAAACACGTGCTGTTCTATACAGTTCCGAACTATCAGCAGATACATTAGAAAGAGCGGATGTATTGGTTTGAATATAAACATCTGAAACAACATCATTGTCCATGAAGTTTCCAGTACTGCTAAATGCCCAGTACTGGCCTGGGCCTGTGTAAAACATAGAAGCTCCTTTCGCTTCAATGTCAGCTTCATACTTGGTGTTACCAATATTTAATTCCTTACCACCACAGTTTATGTGCATGGAGTAGCGATCTGTAAGTATTGACAATTCAGATGAGGACTTATGAACAAATTTTATAAAAGATGTATCAATAGCATACAGTAATTTCTGCATGCTTGCTAACTTTTAGTTATGATCATCAATTTCTCAAGTTCAAATTTACTTTTCCCAATACGTTGATGAGATTTCAATTTTCTTTCCTAGGAACTATTTTAACAACTACAAGCAATAAGTCGGACAATGTAAAGTTCTAGTCCAGGAAAATAAACAGACTTTTTAAATCCAAAAAGACTTACACTGATCACTAGATGCAGAACATGGAAAGTTGTGTTTTAGGCACGAATGAACTCTACTTCTGTAACACAAAAAATAACAATTATGAAGTTTATATTTTAGAGACAAACACATCAAGTCAAAGCTGTACACGAAAACCACCAAAATATCTAACTATATATTGTAAGAGCACAAGATTCTTACACTTTATCGGCTGACGAGGAGTAGCTCTCCACTAAGTTCCTGGGAAAATGAATTAAATGCTTCGCTGCTTTACATAAAAGAATGTAGAATTGAAAAAAAAAAAAAAAAAAAAAAATATTTTAAATTATGCTCACACACTCCTTCGAGGACATTCAATTGGACCTGAGCTTTCCCAAGTGAAATTGTTATAAGATACATCCCTGAAGATCAAAATAGAAGGATATCATCAGCAATTATCCTTTCCATTATTCTAGAACAAATGCAGAAAAAGATAACAAGACAACATTGTGTAATATGCTACTAGTTGTAAATGTTTCTTTAAGTGGCATGAAATCATTTAAGCTCATAAATAAGTATCAGATCTGTCTCAAATAGTACCACAAAATATCAAACATTGAAATTTCAGGAGTTTGGAAAGCAGATAGTTAGATGATTTCTTCATGTTTTCAACAGCTTTGAAACACAATTGGAAACTTAAGCATGGAAATCAAAATCAAGGAAAGAGACATACACAATTTTGTTGCTTTCTAAGATATATTTAGGTACAACTCCAGTAAGCATGTTACCCATCAAATACCTACACAAGAACGGTTCAAATTTTAGCTTCTACTTACATATGGTCAATTAAGAGTGCAAACAAAAATTAGAAGGGCATCCACTCACATGAAATCGACTTTTGCCAATTGGTTGAATGTTTTAGGAATTGGACCAATCAAGTTATTAAAACTAAGGTCTCTGCATAAATACAGCAAACTGTACATAAGTTTCAATCAAAATAAAATAATATCACCAAACAGTAAGAAAAATAGCTAGTATATGCTCTGATCTGCTCTTCATCACTGTTAGGGCTTGGTATATGCAACACATTATGAATTTTATATTCTATTCAATGAAATAAATTATAAGTTACTTATCTGCAGATTTTTGATCTTAAAGTTAAAACCAATTGTATGGCATGCGTCCAATGCCCCACCAGAGCAACAAGCACCGATTTCCAGAGAGGTCTGATGGGCACATCAATTTCGAAAGAGACAAAAGTATGTAATTTGAGTGGCTATTATGTTGACTCTTACAACCTTAACTAATAGCAGAAAAACATTGATCTTTAATTTTATTGGATGCACCGACTTCGACAGAGCTAGTATATGAACTGGCCTCCATAATTAAAGAGTCATTGATGAGATGAAATTCTCAACTACTATCCATTATATAGGATGTAAATGCTATCTAGACAGCCAGTTCAACTTCAATTACTCATCAAACTGGGATGTTGCTCTTCATCTTTAATTTTGATTGGAAGGTTAAGATGTATACTTTCCTGATACTAAATCGTTAGAAAAGCCATATTTTAAGTTATATCTTCAAACTATTGTATTTAACAAATACAATCAAGTAAAATTGATGAAATTAATTGACATATTCCCATAAACAATGTGTCAGGAACATATGTGCAATGCAATTATAAAAAACTTACAATTAAGTAAAACTTTTGCAAACCATTATATCAAAGTTTACCATTTCCTCAGTTATTTTGTGCAGACTATTTTTGTTAGCATTAGCAAAAAGAACAATACTGTGGTGATAATATGCATAAACCATCTACCATTTTAATAATATTAGCATTGAAATTTGACATTGAAAGAGATGAAGAAGGCCAATCTATCCAGTTTATAATGGTTGGCATCTAAAACTATAAATAAGCCATTCTTCATATTTATCCAATTGAGAAAGGAGAATGGTTATGGATATGTTCAAAGTCATTTCTTGAGAAATAGGAAGATAATTATAATATTCAATAAGTTTGAATTTCAAAATAGTGCCATCCAAAACATTGGCTAAACTACTTACATGTTTTTCAATTTCATCATATTACCAATACATTCTGGGATCTCTCCGTGTATCATGCATTCCCTTAGAATCCTGCATTTTCACAATTTGATGCCAAGTATTTACTGATTAAGCGTGTGTGAATATATAAATAATGGACAAAATTTAGAGAAGAAAAAAAGAAAAACATATGTCAAATAAATTTAACTCACAATGTCTTCAAGGATTTCATGTTATCCAATCGTGGGAAAGCAGTCCCTCCCCCTTTCAAGTCACTAATCCTCCTGAAAAATGAATAAAAAACAATCACTCAATTAAATCATCTTGTTTATGAAAACAAAATAAAAAGAAATCCCAGACTTGCATACAGATCGCTTAATCTAGTCAAGGCAGAAATGCTAGAAGGTATAGGCCCCTCAAGAGAGCAACCCTGGATATGCCTGTAACAGAAAAAGCAAAAATGAAATAAAATAAGATAAAAATTTCATATTAAATTTAATCCAAAAGCTGTGAATGCAACACAAATAAGCTTACAATTTCTGTATGTTTTTCCATTTACTAATGAAACCTGGTATCTTGCCAGAAAAGTTATTGTCATTTATCCTCCTAAAAAATATCAGAGACGAAAACTTATCAGTATTCAATCCAGCAATAATAACATAGAGAATACCAATATCAATGGTTGACAGAGAGCATCTTTAAGTTGACCACTTACAAATCATTCAAGTTGCTCAATTTCGCAAGTTCTAATGGCAATTTTCCTGTGAATGCATTTGATGATAGAATCCTAAAGAAAGACCATAATTGTAATGTTATAATCAATAAATTGGAATGGGAGCCATTATCTAATAATTGACTAACAAGAAAGGAGAAAGAAAATACAATTTCTGTAGATTGACCAACTTTCCAATCTCTGGTGGAATGCGTCCTGAAAAGAGGTTCCCTTCTATACTCCTGTAATATGGATGTTTTAGAATTAATTTTAAGTTATAACGATTTTGTAACATCTAATGACACCTGCAAGCTGACAACCAGCCTGAACTCAACCTTCCGGAGAGATAAAAAAAATGGTCAAACTGACAACCAGACTGAGCTCAACCATTTGGACTGAAAAAAAAATCATGGAGGGAACGTTTAACCCGAGCTAAATAAGGCTGGATTCACACTTTGTTCGAATTGTATTAGCCTAGACAGGTTCAAGGACAGCACTTGTTCAACACAATTTTGTAATCATTGGGTCAAGAGATTTGAAATGCTGGAATTCAATACAACTTTTATAATTAATACATCTCGTTGAAAATGACATAGATAAGACACAATCTTAATCATTTAAATACATTAATCTAAGCACTCAAAAATTGTATCATATCTTGTGTAAAAATATGATACTCTTGAACCTCCACTGTATAACCAAATAAACTAGTTAATTATAGGCCCCTGTAGAAGAGTTAAATGGATTCGGGTTTTATTTAAAAAAAAAAAAATCTTTTATCTGCTATAATTGTACTAAATTTAAATGAACTTACAGGTTTCTGAGGGTGGTGATGTTTGTGAGAACTTTTGGGAATGGACCTGAGAGTCGGTTCCCCATGAAAGAGCCGCAAATTTACAAAGCAAAAGTATGCAACCTGAAGTTAAATTTACCATAAGACACTTGAGGTGATGATACAGAGAGGAACAAACTATAAAGCAAGATAGTTACAGCTCCTCCAATTTCATGGCAGCCCATTGTGGAGGAATAGAACCAGTGAGACAGTTGCGGCTGACGTCTCTGGAAGACAAGCAAAGAGAATGAATGAATGCTGAAATGACTACTGTATTGTTCGAAGCAATGAAGAGCGATGATTGGATTAACTTACAGAAGTTTAAGGTAGCGAAGCTTGGAGAAGTCTGGTGGGATAATTCCTGTGAGATTTTGAGCTTTTAACTGTCTGCAAGTTCATATCATGCAAGATCAGAACCAGTTACTATATAAAAGAGACATTAGTAAATTTTCCAAAAAACAAAGAAAATTCGGAGAATCAGTCTTAAAAACCCCCCGTAATATGATGTTGTTGGAGTGGGGGAAAGGTTTTAATTTGTTGCAAAATTCAGAGTGTGGCAATTTATCCTATACTTTGGTGTGTGGAATTGAAGCTTGAAAAACCCAAAATTACAAACAATAGACGATATAAAGAAGTAAGGAACACAACAGCACAAATAACACACCGATATAAGTGGTTAGACCAAATAATCTACACACTTCTCACAATAAGCCAAATGTACAAGTGACAGAAGAAAATATAATACTAATTCATTTTCTAGCATATGTGAGTGAAGATACTCAGCTACCAAAAGCAAAAGCATGAAGAGAGGCAGAGGAATACATGCTGACAACGTGGCAAGAAGAGGAAGAGCAGTGACACGTGAGATTACTCTCATGACCTTCTATCGCCTCCTTTACAATCCAATTCCCTTTGCCACTGCAGGGATCTTCTTCAAAATTCCAATCTCTCTTCCCCAGTTGCCTCCCTATTTGCTTCAATGCCCTCACTGTACTACTTGTTATTCAACTAATAACTAAAGCAAACAAACTAATTGACAACACCTGCCTTTAATTACTTCGTACGTACCTTCTTCAGTGTGGAGCTTATTAGAAGTGCCTGCAAATCCAAAGGCTGCAGTTGCAGTTGCAGTTGCAATGAAAATAAATGTAAGAAGAAGGAGCTTCGGAGATGCTCCCATTTGAGCTTGTTTAACTGTGAGTCTTTTTAGCTGAAAATGAACAAGGGGGTGATAGAATAGGATACAACACTGAAACTGTGTTATTAAATTGAGTAATATCTCCTCGTGGTTTTAAATAGATTGTATAAAGACGGATAACCGCGTCCATCGAAAATTTTGACCAACCTTTTAGATTCTCATGTCAATTATTGACCAATCAAATCTTATACAACAAATGCTTTCATTACAATTTTTTATATTTCATGGTTTTAAAATAAATGGTAATGAAATAATTTGGTAAATATTTTTTAATTCATAATTATATAAATTTATATGGTATATTGATGATTCACTAAAGATAAAGGGATTTTTGTTATTTTTGAAATTTCATAAAGAATTTTATTATTTGATTAAATCTTAACGGGGTGGAGAAAACTGAAAACCTCAATTATATAATATGATCAATATACTTAATCACCATTATATTCATTTTATTGGACTGTATGATATTTTACAATTAAAGATAAAGGGATTTTTGTTATTTTTGAAATTTCATAAAGAATTTTATTATTTGATTAAATCTTAAGGGGGTGGAGAAAACTGAAAACCTCAATTATATAATATGATCAATATATATATATATAGTTAGGATTATACTTAATCACCATTATATTCATTTTATTGGACTGTATGATATTTTACAATTCAAATCTATTCTATAATCTATATATATAAAATCAATTATTATCATATATCCATAAGCATCCTGTAATTTTGTTGATACCCTTTGTTTCCCTACTAAAATACTTTTGTTTTAATAAATTAATGCAAATTCATCAGTAAAACGATTTTTAGGTGGTGTTTGTCTGAGCTTATAAAAATTAGCTTATAAGCAACAATTGCTTATAAGCTAAAATTAACTTATAAGCATTTGAAATTTTAAGCAATTATGTGTTTGGTTAAAGTACTTATAAGTGACTGATAAGTAATTGACGTGTTTGGTAAAATGTGGCTTATAAGTATATTTTATTATAAAATTACTAAAAAAGGTATTACATTAAACAAGGACATACTATGGAATTTTAAAATTAAACAAGGATAATGTAGTAATATACTTGGTCAAACTAGCTTATAAGCAAAGTGCTTATAAGCTAAAAGAAAAAAGTACCTCCTCCCCAACTTATTTTTTTTAGCTTATAAGCTCAACTTATAAGCTCAAAAAAATTATAAACAAACAGGTCAGCTTAATTTTAGAGCATATAAGCAAGTTTGACCAGCTTATAAGCTTAGACAAACACCCCCTTAATGCTTTCAATTTGGCCCTAAACATCAAATGAAAATGTGAACAATCTATTCTCCTCTCTTAAAGCAATTGACGCTTATGGCATTGACCGTAGTCGGAACAATTTTATCTTCTCTATATTGCTATACTTTTAAGAGTTAATAATTTCGTACAGGAACCATTAAACTTAATTACGTTTCGTTATCTCTTCGGCTTTATATTGAAGTGTATTTTACAAAAGTACTTTGTTGTAAACCTAACCAATACGAGAGTGATGGGAGAGTAAAATTAACATTAGAGTAGGTAATGAGTTTTTATAAGATATATTAAGTTGTAATATAAAATTTTCACAACAATCTTTCTAAGGTTTTTGAAATAACAAAATTACTCATATCGTTAAATTTTAGATATAAAATAAACCATCCAAAATCAATTCAATAAAATATTTTTTAACTCCTAATAGTGTAAAAGATTTTTGTTATTGCATAAAATATAGAAGTCTATTTTATTCTATTTAACTCAAAACATTAATAATTAATTTTCTCAATAAAAATTTAAAATTAACAAAAACACCTCCACTTATCCAAGCCACTATCACCCGCCAGCAACCGTTGCCGCCATCACTGCCACTAACACCATAACGATGCAGAATCGGCTGGATCTAGTCGATCATGCGCTGATCTATCTGTTTCCTATCAGATCTACGGCTAAATATCTGACCGTCATTAACAGCAACACTAGATCTTTGAAGGCTAGACATTTGGCTGTATATCTGATCAAAAAATGCTAGATTGGTGCACGACTGATCAGATTCAGTCAATCGTGCGCCATTCTGACAACTTCCGATCACCTTTCGGTGGTAGTGGCCGACTGCTGGTAATTATTGAGTAGATAATGGTGTTTTTATTAATTGATAAACTTTGATTATATAGGAGTGTTTAACTAAGTTAAAAAAATGTAGGAGGTTAAAAGTAATCTAAATATTTTTAAATATAACAAACAAATTATCATAATCTTATCCTATTTAATTAAATATTATTCAAAATAGAATACCATTATAAAAAACTAAACAAATAGCAGCTTTAAGTTTTTAGTTTATAAGATAAACATATTTTCATAATTTTATCTTATTTAATTAAATATTATTTAGAATAGAATACTATTATAAAAAAACTAAACAAATGGCAGCCTAAGTTTTTATTGGATAGGATAAGACAGTGAAATATGATAGCGTTAGAATAGGGTACCAAAAGGCAGCCTAAGTTTTTTAACTCTTTATTGAAAGGTTTACATCGGGAATTTGATAGCAGAAAGCAGTTTGTGGGAACAAAAGGAGAATTTAAAGAGTCAAAGTCTTCCACTAAAACGGAAATTAAATAAAATGTTTCCGACAAAAAGTCGAAAGCCAGCTGGATGGTGTCTTATTTGGAGTCATTGAAGTGATGTAGCAGTACGACACACGTTTTAAAGCAGTGCATGGAGAGTGATTGCTTTGTCTTTGATCAAGGCTTAGATGTTTTTGTTCAGTTTTAGTTAAACTGTCGGTGATTCAGACCAGTGGGCTTGGCCTGTATTTTGCTTAACAATGCATAATTAATAAACTCTTCTTCCCTGTTAGTAAAATTATGATTATTACCTACTCCTTTTCGGTTAGATAATAAACTCTTTAGATATTGGAATTAATTATACATAAAAGATCTTGTATTCAAATTCTTGGTTTATTAAACATGCTCCAAGGTGAGCTTGAATACATTATATACTTAAAAAAAAAAAAAATGATTACTAGAAATTAAATTAAACTTTTATTTTTTAGTGCCTCTTTGTTATTGAAATAGAATTGGTGACGCTACTATTTTATTGCTTAAGTTTATATGAATATTATCAAAGCTTTTAGGTGGTAAAATCTTTCATATATATCAAAAATTTGGTAAATAACTTAATTTAAGCAAGCAAATAATTTTGCCAGAAATCTATCTGAATCCATAGTTTACTGTGAATCTTTCATTTGTGTCCAAGCTGAAGCAAGCTCCTACCAATTTCTTTTGAGTCAAGGATAAACTTTATCATCATTAATCAGCTTATCCCCTAAAATCCAATAGAAAATCTTCCAAGCAACTTCAGTTTAATGGTAACACCTACAATCGTGGGATTAACCCCCCAAAATTAGACCCTTATCCCTGATTTTCCTCTTGTAACCGTTATTCACTACGCACTATATAAACCCTCTCAAACTCATTGTAAAGGAGTTAGCAAAATTAGAGAGAGAGTTTATTCTTATAAAGAAAAAAATCAATTAATAAACAGTGGACGTATGCTTGATTTAACACGCCGAAACACTTTAAAAATTGTCTTTCGTGTTTGTTTCCTGTTTCAATTCAATTTCTTGTTAATCTTTAAAGATCACATGCATCTTATTCAATCTTGTCAAGATCAATTGAGTATGGCAGGTGATTGTGAGTTTTTATAACAACATATATTTTAAAATTAATGAAATAACATAAAGTAGTTTGATCCTTCATACATAATAAATTGTTTAATTTCATTTAAATCATAGCTTTTATTTAACTATTTTAAATTTTTTGATGAATGGTAAAATATTTAGTCATGCTCACTTTAATCTAATTATATTACTTGGATCAATTAACAATTTCAGAAATTTAAATGTAATCATGTTTTATTCAAGCTAAATTGTGGGTTTCTATTTTAAATATCTTAATCCTCTTAGTCTACTTGAATAATAAAACAAATCAGTGTTGTGCAAATATTTGATAACTATTCTATCAACCGTGATTTGGTTTTAGGTATAATATTTGATCCATCACTCTTGGAGTTGCATGAAATCGAAGACACACAACCTGTAAAAGAGACTGAAAAATGTATTTTATTTCATTGACTACTGATTAATTGGACATTGCAAGACATAAACGACGATGATTAAATCTTGTGCTTACAAAATATCAACTTTATTTCTACAAACCAGGCATTATAGCCTAAGTCCATCCTCAAAATAATATAAAGCATTATTCAAGATAGAACAAAGTCTACTGCTCTATTACAGCCTAGCATGATATGTATTTCGAAAACCAATAGAAACACATATCAATACATTTGTCAATGAAATAAAACCATACCATACGCCAAAGTGGATTGATCAAAAGGATGACCGACCAATAACCCCAATATGACCACGCAATATGATCCACCAAAACTCCAGCAAAATGCCACCAACTCAACTTCTCCTTCTTCTGTACTAGATGGTAATGAGGGTAGTATTGACGCATTAGTGCAGCTCTTATTAATTATTGGACCACAAAGACAAGGGTTACCAGCATATGCGCTTCCATCAAAAGTCCCAAACTGCCAATTATTAGGGATTGGGCCACACAAGTTATTGTATGAGACATTGAAGGTCCCTAAGGAGTATAGCTCCATCAATTGAGATGGAATTTCACCACTTAATTTATTGTAGGAAAGATCTAGGCTCTCAACATTTTTTAGGTTGGAAAAACTCTTTGGTATAGATCTTGACAAGAAATTATTAGACAAATTCAGTGTCTTGATTCCTTGAAGGTCTTCAATGTTTGAAGGGATATCTCCAATTAAGTCATTGTTTGACAAATCCAATCCAGTCATAATATTAAGAATGTCACACTTATAAAAACCAGACCTATTCTTTGTCAGAAACTCCACATCCAATACCAGATTTGACAGACCATCAAGACCAAATCCCAACATCAAAGTGGAATTGTAGAAAGCGCTACCAGGAGTCAAACCAAGAGAAGAAGTAAAATCGAGTATAATGAAAGCAT